AAAGAAACAATGACATTGCAGGCAGAATATGAGATCATTCAGCTTCTGTAGCCACCTCCTTCCTGTCTAGATATTTTACAGAAAGGGAATGAGAATGGGGAAACAGCGAAGGTCTCTGAAAATCAGTCAGACACAATGCAATAGGGAGATGGAGAGGAGGGAAAGGAGGCTGGGTTTCTCAAGTGGCAAGTGCTACGAGTAGGCCCTGGCTGCCATGGCTCAGTGGATTGAGTGTCAGCCTGCAAACTGTAAGGTTGCTGGTTCAATTCCAGGTCAGGGCACACGCCTGAGTTTTGGGCCAGGTCCCCAGTTGGGGGCATGCAGGAGGCAACTAGTCGATGTTTCTCTCTCACATCCATGTTTCTCTTCCTCTCTTTTTTCCTCCCTCCTTGCCCTCCCCTCTCTCTCTCTAAAAGAAAAAAAAAAAAGCTATGATGTGAGGTGGTAAAACCAGGTATTCAAGATACAGGCAACGACACAGACGAGGACATGGAGGACTTCCAGGAGCAGCCTGGGAGGTGACATGAGCAGGACTGGAGGCAGGTCTGGGCAAAGCAGGGGTTATCCAAGTCCAAGGTGCCTCGTAATCCCCTGGAAATCTTGTTAAAACACAGATTGCTGGGCCCCACTTCCGGAGGTTCCACCTCCCACATCTGAGTTAGCCTCTGAGAATTTGCATTTCTGGTAAGTTTTGAGGAGGTGCCGATACTGCTGGCCCAGGTGTTCAGCAAGATGGATAGTAAACCAAGGCAGGGAGGGGAGGGAGACACGTCCCACCCACTGATTCAGCAGTCCTGAGCCTGGTCTGATAAGACTGCCACGTGTTCTGAACATCACAAGCAAAAATGGCGATAGATCAGGAGGAGGGGAGTCCTTGAGGTTCTGTGTGCTGGGAAAGAAAGCCTCTGTAGCAATTTCATTAGCTGAGAAAGAAAGCCTTTGTAGCTGTATATTGATCCCAAGGCCTGGAAGGGGAAGAAGGAGGGGTACCTAGAAGCTGGCTAAAATACAGAACTCCTGGAGTCCCGAGAGTCAGGGCACTCGGATCAGCTGGGTGCCCGCCTGTAACCTTTGCTCAAGTGCACTTCAAAAATAAACTTGCTATCTCATTTCCTCTCTGAGTGTTGTCTGTTGATTGAATTCTTCTCTTGCAAGCAAGACAGGAACTGAGGAGGGGAGCCCCTGACTCGGGTCTCCCCAGTAGCACAGGGGCCGTGTTTTGAGAGACACTGGTACCGGGCACGCTAAGGAAGCCTCTGCATGGAGGGTCAGGGGAGGACCCTCCAGGGACGTGGATGGAGGGGGCTGCGTGCCACACGGAGCGCAGTCTGAGCTGGCGGAGGCCAGTGGTCAGCCCCACCCTTTCCCCAAACCCGAGCCTACCGTGACCACCTCCGACTGCCCAGTCTCCTGGTACTCAACCCTGCCTGTCCCCTCAGCTGCATTGTGCTTTGAAGGAGTCTCTGGTTCCTCACTCCAGTGAGATTTTGATGACCCCTTTAAAATGCTGCTGAGGGGATAGGCTAAGACCACCTAATGTCACACGGCAATTCATGCTGGTGCTGCTGTGACTGTTTTTAGCAGGGAACCTGGCATTACGTCATGTCTCCTTGAATGCAGTTCTCACGTTATGTTTGGGCAGGAGAGGGATGAGGAGGAAAGGCCGTGCCTGCTAGCCTTCCCAGGAGAAATTATGTGCAAACTGCAGCCTGCCCACTGTGGCGTGGTTTGGTTTGGTTTGGTTCAGTTCGGTTTGGTCAGCATCCTCATATCCAATAGGGAAAATATCTCTTTCTCTTCATCATGAAGCCTGGAGAGCAGCCTGGGGTCCTGGCTGCTCTATGTCACAAGAAAAAGACAGAAACCAGTCTTCCACAACAGCCTTTCTTGATTCTGATGTACCTTTTAGTTTCCGAAACTGATACAAAAACACGCACAGTTTCGATTCACGTTGACCTGGTTCGGCATTCTGGCTCTGCCGACTTTCCAGCCTTTGATTTTGGACAACTTACTCAAGCTCTCTGAGCCTCAGCATCCTCATCTGTAAAATGGGTGTGTTGATAATCCACATCAGAGGGGTGCAGGGGGCATTTAGTGAAGTCATGAATGTTAAGTGCTTAATAGAGTGTGGGGCTCAGCCAGTGTTTGCCAATTGCCCCGGTGTAAATACTCCCACCATAGCTGATGTCAAGCGAACAACATGCTGTCTCTGAATGGGGTTGAGCACACCATTACTTAGCGTTTCCACCACACGGGCACAGTACAAACAAATAACCTCAAGAGCAGAGAGGATAGTCACACACAGTAAAACAATTGGGAAGTGATGAGTTTTTATGACCTTTGCATTTTGAGTGCTTATCACCTGTGTTTTTAATATGTATTAATACATAGTAATAGGTATGTATATACATATTTAATATGTATTTAATGTATTTAATTGTAAGTTCACATAATTAAAATTTTCATGATGGCTGTGTTTAACAACCGGTTCACAGAACGCCCTGGAACACTTAAACGTCCTCTCCTGAGCCAGTCCCAGCCAGTTCCAGCACCCGGGCTGGGCTCACCTGTAGGTGGTTTTCCCCTCTCTTTCCTATGCTCAGCCCCAGGGAAGATATCATGAAACTTTCCCAGGTAGAAATAAAGATGTTTTCTGTTCCACTGCAGGCTCCAAGTTTTGCTGTAGGCCTTGGCCCCCATCCCAGCCCTCAGACTATACTAAACCCCAGCCAAGGTCCAGCCCCCATCATGCTGCCTGACTGGCCCTTCCCACGGCTGGGCAGCTGAGCGGCCGCTGACGCCAGAGAGGACACAGCCTCTGCTGGGCTGGGCGCCGGCAGGGGAACCGTGAAGGGCTCTCTGTGGCTGCGTGGTGGACTGGCAGGTTATTTCAGGATCGCATCAGTGAAGGGGATGGGGAAGCCCAGCCAGCCAAGTGCACTTTGGCAAGTCAGGGCCTATAATTAGGCTCCACTCGAGGCTTGAATAAACCCCTGGTTGTTACTAAACAACAGTAAAGCAGGAAGACCTCCAGCTTCCCCAGGCCTGGTGCTGCACGAGCCGCCCAGGACAGACATTTGGACAGAAGTGCCCTGTCTGCTGAGCAGCGTCCAAATTATCTCAGAAACCTCTCCTGTCCTCAACCGCAAGGGAGCACAGAGGGGCAAAGGGCGCCGGGCAGCCGGCTCCTCACCTCACCTCACCTCACCTCCAGCATCTGCAGGCCCTACCTGACTCCATGATTGCTCAGAAGCCTCTTTTATTTACAGAGTCTGCAGTCACTGGGGAAATGTTACACATTCCCACGGTCGCGACTGTGGGATCCCCACAAAGCAAAAGGTAAAAGGAAACGTACCCCAGTGCTGATGGTGTTCTCACCGCATGGCAGGACTTGGAATGAGTACATCGTCAGCCATCTTTCTGTGTTTCCAGAATTGTACAGCTCTAAGCACGATGCACGTATTTCCCCACACACACACGCCCAGAGTTGTGTCTTATTGTTTTCTTTTTCTGCCCACCCCTCTAGATCCCAAATTTAAAAAGCAGAAAGAAACAAACAGCAAAACCAAATTGTACTAAATGAGGGACTTAAGCTCCAGGGTCCCTTGCTCACCACAGACAGCCCTTGTGCTGGTCATTTTTTAGTCCCTCTGTTAGAGGCAGTCTCCCGAGTGCTGTGCGCTGCGGGCGCACCTCCGCCCACGCCCACCCCTGCACGGCCGCCTCTCCCAGAGCACCGCGAAGCCGTCTTCTCCACGGTGGTTCTTTTTGAGCTCACAGTTTGCTATGACTTGGGGTCCCACGCTGTGTGGAATAGTTGTCACGGCATCCATGTAAGAAACTGAGTAGGGCAATCACCTCAGGCTTCAAATTCGCCATCAGCAAAATGGCAGCACCGAAGGTTTTCTGAGTGTGGTGAGGCTGAAGTGTGAGAGGGAGGAGGAGGAGCAGCGGGCTCAGCCAGCGCAGCCCAGCTGGGCCACAGCGAGGCCTCACACAGCCAGAGCCCTCCGATGGACTGTAGGCAATGACAGTTACTCCGTTGAACTTTCTGTATTCTTTTTAAAATATTTTTTATTTTTCAGTTACGGTTGACATCACTAGTGCATTAGCTTCAGGTGTAGTGATTAGATGTTCATATAGCTTACGAAGTCATCACCCTGCTGAGTCTAGTACGCACCTGACACCATTTCAACGTTACTGACTGTATGTTCCCTACGCTGTGCTTTACATCTGCACGACTATTCTGTAACTACCAACCTGTATGTCTTAATCCCTCCCCCTTTTGCACCCATCTCCCCAGCCCTCCTTCCACCTGGCAACCCTTGTGGCCACGGAGTGTCAAATGGCCACATGTGGCTGCCATGCTGGCAGCACAGGTAGTGAGCAGGCGTCATCACAGAAGCTCCTGTTGGACGCACTCATCTAGAGATTCCACGATTCCAGCAGCTTTTCTTTATTTTTAATTTATCTACTTATTTACTTATTTTTAGAGAGGGAAGGGAGGGAGAAAGAGAGAGAGAGGAACATCAATGTGTGGTTGCTGGGGGCCATGGCCTGCAACCCAGGCATGTGACTTGACTGGGAATCGAACCTGTGACACTTTGGTTCACAGCCCGCACTCAATCCACTGAGCTACGCCAGCCAGGGCTCCAGCAGCTTTTCAAAGGCACCCGTGACCAGAAAAGGTTCACAGCCCCTAAGTCAAGCCAGTGAAACTTCATTGAAGGAGCCAGAAACTTCTCTAGCGCTCAAAAGCTCATCATGGTGATGGAGGCCATGAACAAGTCTGCCTCTGAGTGTTCTTTGTGCTCTAAAAATCCAACTCTAAAAACTCTTTGAAACCATCCAGATCCTGTGCTTTATTGTTGATCTCCTTCCCCCTTTCTAGAGAAGGGCACTTAAAGTTTCCCAGAGCCTCTGGGCCCAGCCCGAGTCCCAGTGGGGAACAGGGGGACGGCCGGTGACCCTGTCCCCTGTGCTGTGTGTGACTGTTCCAGGTTGGCGAGGCAGTCTTGGAAAACGCCCGGCTCATGCTGCAGACAGAGAGTATCCAGGCGGGCGCGGATGACTTTAAAGAAAGGTAATGCTCTGCAGCAGAGGGGACAGTCCCTCCATACCTCCCGCGTGACTCTTGGGTCACTCAGGTCATGCTGTCTGAAGTCTCCCACATTCCCCTCCAGCCACATGGAAGGCTGGGGTGGGACAACAGGGTCCCTGGGAGAATCCAGAGTCAAGATGGTCAGACCCAAACCCTCCCTGTAGACACAAACTAAGCCCCAAGGGCTCAGAGATTTTGCCTGGTGTCACTGGGGTTAGAGCAGAGGTTCTTGACATCCAGCGTAGTTCAGAATCCCCTAGGGGGCTTGCAGACAACACAGATCGCTGCACCCCACACTCAGAGTTTTTGATTCAATAGATCTGGAGAGGGGCCCCACATTTACATTTCCTGCTGGATCCCCATGATGCTGATCCTGCTGGTCCTGGGACCACACTCTGAGAACTGCTGGTTTAGAGAGATGGCTCTCATGGGCAGCTGCGTATTAGAATTACCTGGGCACCGGAAATGCCAGTGTGCAAGCCCTGCAGATGAACTAAACCAGAGTGTCTGCGGCAGAGTTGCGGGGGGGGCGGGGGGGCGGACCTCGGCCTCCATGTATTTAAGGCTCACCAGCTTGAGAAGCTTCTCTTTGAAGTCTAATACAGTGTTTCCTAAGGTGGACAAAAATGTGTTTAGAGTTGTTCATAGGAAAAATAATACCACAATGAATAAATAATAATACAAGAATAAAGTCAGTGTATATATTACTGGTGAAGATTATTTTAAGTGGTGTAAGGATACACATTTTATTTTTAATAGTGATGTATTTATTTTTGTAGTTACCTATTATTTATGACCCATGAACCTGTTTTTCCACTGTAGTACCACCTTTTATAGTAGCTATTTAAAGTTTACTTAATATCAAGAGCTTTTCTGGTTTATTGATTTAAGATTTACTTTTTCGGTAGATAAATCTGCGGAAAAGATAAAGCATACAGAGGATAGGCACTTAGAGCAAAATCATGAAGGCCGGTGAGCTTTGGGGAACGCTGGGCCAGTGGAGAAGCCACACGAGGAGGACCCTTTTCTGGACGAGCACACTGACTTTGAGAAGATTCTGTGGGGCGGGTGGCCTGGGCGTTGAGTGGTTGGATTGGATTGTTATTCAAGGAAAGATTTTGCTAAACTGGTAAAGACAAAGAGGAAAGGCATAGTGTTGGGAGTCTTTGGGAAAGACCATGTCATTCTTATCTTAGGATAAGAAGGCCTGGCGATGAAAAGGAGAACTGCCACCATCTCTTCATTGTCCTTTCCTTTCCCAAAGACCAAGCTTCTCCAAGGTGCTAACATCTTCCCATTGGTGGCCACTCTGGAATCAAGGGGACTCAGTCAGCCATGGTTGCTGTCTTGCCCGGCACCCTCTGGCCAAGGTGACAGGAGCGCAGAGAAGTGAAATAAAAAACTGGGGAGCATGGTCCACTGTTCAATTCCCGGCCAGGGCACATGGCTGTGTTGCGGCCAGGTCCCCAGTCGGGGCGCATTTCTCTCACCGATGTTTCTCTCACCCCCTCTCTCCCTCCCTTCCACTCTCTTGAAAAAAATAAATAAAGTTTTTTAAAAATTAAAAAAAGAGTTAAAGTCAGGGACAGATACTGACTTTGGTTTTGAGCAAGCTGAGTTCAGCTGGTAGTGGAGAAACCAAGGAGAAATTATGTGATGCTGCTGAAGAGGTGGGGCCAGTCGCCTCCCGGTCAAGGGCAGAAGAGCTGGACTGGCTGCCATGAGCACAGAGATGCTAACTGAAGACTTCAGAGTGGAGCAGGCGGAGGAGGGTACCAGAGAAAGTTAAAGCTTAAGAGCAGCCGTGGGGGTATCACAAATATATCTCAAATCCTTAGGGCAGTGGTTTTTAGCCTTGTGCTTCTCATGGTATACATAAACTAATTACTCGAATCCTATGGCACACCAAAAACTATATTGTATTTTTCACCGATCTGACAAAAAACAATAGGTATAATTTTGATTTATTCACGCTGGACGGCTATTGTTGTGTTGACTGTTATCCCTATTTACCTGACAATCTAAGGGAAGAGGTCAGTGCTCCTGACTAAACAGTCAAGTATTGCGTGCTTTAAAACTTCTTTCAGCACATAGTTGAAAATCGCTGCCATACAGGACTTCAAAAAAAAAAAAAAGTCGGTGGAACACCTGAGACCTCCCATTGTTGAGCGGACCCCATCCCAGGGGGAACAGGCTCCCTGCAGAGGTGAGCAAACTTGACCCCGGGGGCTGAGGGGGACTCTTCCAGCTTGGCTCAGCAGAGACCAAGCCCAGTCACACAGGGAGCTTTTCATTTCAGCTGGAAGGACAGGACTTATTTCTGAAAGGACTAAACACTAATAAGCATGCAATCCTTTGTAAAGAGTGCACTTGGGTAGAAAAGTTCATCCTACACAGAGAGCACAGAAAAATGCTTTGGAAGCCTTCTCCCAAGCACTGATGCGAAGGCAGAGCTCCAGACCTGGGGGGACGTCTGGGTCACAGGGCCCCCGGGCTCTGTCCTTCATTTCTTCATTTACATTTTGGACTGCCAGGTGCATGAATGCAAAGGAGGCAAAATGGCACGATATTCAAACCAGGGGGTGGTGAAGAGCAGAATGACAGAAATATGATGCAAAACCGTCCCAACACATTGGAACAATGTGCCAATGAAACAAAGAGGATAATATGAACTCCCACTTTTGAGCTCACATACTAGGTGCACCTAGGCAGGACAGGGAAACTGGGCTTCAGGCAGCTCCTGTGAAATATGCGTGGGGGTTTTAGTTGGCAGGAGACCCAGTATTAGTCGGCAGCAAATACAGCTGGTCAAAATCAAATGAACAGACATGTAAACAAACAGAAGCTGCAAAGCAAATCTTAGGGTCCATGAGGAGGAGCATTAAAGGGCCTGACCACAGGAGCAGACTGTCCCATGGGACTCTGAACTGACCAGGCAACATCTGGAGTTTTGCATTCTGCATCACATCTTGAGAAGGCCATGAGACCAATTAGAGCGTTTATGCTCATCCCATAAATGTATCTGAAGCCTGGAGCAGGGTGCTGGGAACACAAAGATGGAGAGGCCACAGTCCCCGCCCTCGATAATGAGGGACGTGGAAACCAATGTACATCAAGAATGGAGGGAAAATGGGAGCATATGTATAACTTAAGGAACAAAAGGCTTGGAGGGGTGGGGTTGGGGAGGGGGAAATGAGCAAGTGACACAGAGACAGCCTCTAAATATTTATAGGACTGCCAGAGGGAAGCATTAGACTGATTTTGGGTGTTCCAAAGGGTAGAACTCAGATTCTTACAAGAATGGAGGCCTTGAGTGATAATGAGTTCCCTGTCACTGGAGGTATTCAAGCAGAGGATACATGATCACTTATCACGAATGCAATCAAGGGATTGTCACTGGGTAGGAGTTTCAATAGTTGAATGCCAACATCTCTTTAACATTCTAAGACCCTAAGAGGCAGAGGTTCTGTGAAATGAGAGGTGTGCGATTTCTCTCTTCTGTGAATGGACTAAGGTAAGCTGGGGGATATGGCTAAGTGGTACAGCTAGATAGAAGGCTGTGGCAGGAAAGGAGTGACATGGGGAGAAATTGGCAAAGATGTGGGGTAGTTTTCAGAAAGAAAGCTGGTGTAAACCAGAAAACGAAAGAACTCAGAGCGGACAGTTTTGGAGTGGGCAGTTTTGGACTTGAGCTGGTGTGTTATTGCCTATGTTGTAAGTTTTTAAAACTCCGATATTTCACATATAAATCTAGCTTTCCCATTTCTCTCGGAGAGAACTGTCACACCCCTCCCACCAGGTGTAAGGGGGAGGTGCTGAGCAGCAGCACCCCTTTATTTAGGGGAAGTACATATAAGCTGTTGCATGTGCTTCAATCCCCACCTCTCTCTGCTGCCCAGACCTGGCCCTCGTCCCTCACTTGCATTGGCCACTTGGCCCCTGGGGGCCTTTGTGTTGGTGGCCACAGTCCTGAAATTCCACATGGGCTCTTTGGAGATAGAAACCACATTCTGCATTCTGGGGTCATCGGCACATAGCCTGGCAGATTCTCAGTACTATTTGTTACAGGATCCTCAGGTGAAAAGGAGGACAAATCAGAATAATGATGATGATGCTGATCCCTGAACTGGAGAAGCTCACCCCAGAGTTCCACGCTGCCAGGGTCCATGAGGCTGGCCCCCGTTAAGCCTGGTTATCAGAAGTTGGCAGCAATTGTGCTCACTTTAACAAACCAACAAGTAACAAGTGCGTTAACCATGCCCTCAACGCAGCTAGAAAAGTGACATTTAACATTCATTGTCTAACTAGCACATAATTGGCCTGTTGGCAATACTTATAATCGGATTAGTTTGTCATTTGGGTTGCCTGGCTATGCTGATATAACTCTTTTATCTGCAGATATGAAAATGAGCAACCATTTCGAAAGGCAGCGGAAGAGGAAATTAATGCTCTGTATAAAGTCATCGATGAAGCTAATTGGACAAAAAGGGATCTGGAAAGTCAAATAGAAAGCCTGAAAGAAGAACTTGGCTTTCTGTCAAGGAGCTATGAAGAGGTAGGTGGGGGCGGGGGTGATGCCTGGTTGGTTACCAGACCAAAGACACCCTCCTGTCTGGCAGAACTTCAAAACACAGGTGAAGGCAGCTCACCTCAGCCTCTCCATATCACTTGCCCAGGGCTGCAGGGAAGATGCTGGTAAAACACTTTCAGGCCTTGGTGTGGGTCAGGTTAGCCCTCTGTCTCACCCTCAGAGGGCTTCACAACCAAGCTGCTATGCGAAATGAGAAAAGCAGCAGGTCCAAGCCATACATAGAGTGTTGAGTTAGAGTTTCTGAACTTTCCATACCTCAAGGCATTCAAGTTCAGATCTTTGTTTTCAACACTACAGAGGACAAACAAATTAACTCCAACTAAGGCTGTGGTTTGCACATACTCATTAATGGAACCAGGTCAGAACATTGAGTGACAGGACAGAGAGACCCTCCCACGGTGACGTGGTCCAGTCCCCTACAGGACGGCACTGATTCTAAACCACATGCCACTGAGCTGAGGCCTAAAGTGCCTGCTGTTGAAAAAGTAAAAACCCACCTACCCATGCAGATATCAGGAAGCTCCTTCTTTTCACCAACCTTAGGCAAACCAGGAACCAATGAGCCCGCATCCTCCTGTTCTTGGCTCTCTAGTTTTTACCACTCTGCAACAGTAAGACACTGCAAAGTTATCTTTAAATCTCTCTCAGCCTACTCTGACTATGAAATTCATAAGGGTCATCTTCCCATCATTGCTTACTCTGTGTTGTTACTTAGTGACTTATTTGGATTTTTGCTTTGGGCCTGTGCTTGTGAAGACCAGCTGAGAAATGCATCCTGGGAAAAAAGAGTGCAGCCCCAGTGCTTGGAGGAGGATTGGGGACTTGGCCAGTGTCTGTGGAACTCCGCGTCCGACTGTAGCAAAATGGGAAGCACAAGTGTCACCCACATAACTGGGCTTCTGCAGACCGGACTTCCGAGCCTCTTCCTTCTCCCGTGGAACTCACCAGAAGTGTATGTTGTCCTTTGCAGGATGTGAAAGCGCTGTATAAGCAGCTGGCAGTATCTGAGCTGGAACAAGTGGGTGTCCCCATGGGCACTGGCCTAGACGACATCCTCGAGACAATCAGAATTCACTGGGAGAGAGATGTCGAAAAGAACCGGATGGAAGCAGGGGCCTCGCTCCAAGCCAAGGTGAGAGGCCAGACCCGCGCCCTCCTCTCTGCCCTACGCAGAGGGAGGCCATGCAAAGATGGAGAGGGGCCTACATGCCAAGGGAGCGATGCAGCGTTCCAGTCTCACGAGACAGAAATGAAATGTGCGTTCAAATAGTAGTTGTTTTGTTTACCTGTCTAAAGGCAGGAAAAGTTTAAAATGGTAATAACAATAATGCTGGCCAGTATGTGGAGAAGGTTTTCACCTATATTACTGGGGAGCACCATTATGACCCCTTTCTGTAAGGAATTCGGTGGTATATATCAATAGTCTTAAAATGTCCCTACCTACCAGTCGAATAATCTGGACACTATCCTAAAGAAATCATAGGAAATACAAGTAAAACCCTGGCCAGGTGGCTCAGTGTGTTAGAGCATCTTCCCCATCACATGCCAAAGTTGTGGGTTCAATCCCCAGTCAGAGCCCATTTTATAAGAATTAACCAGTGAAAGCCTGGATAAGTGGAACAACAAATTGATCTCTCTCCCCTCCCCCCATCTCTCTCTCTCAAATCAATCAATAAAAAAAAATAGATTCTTAAAAAAATACAAGTAAAGTTTACATCCAAATATACTCACTGATACATTCATTATAAGAGTCAAAAACTTGGCGAAATAAACACATAATATGTTTAACAACAGGATAAAGACTAACCGTGTAGTGACATGTCAGGCCCTTATCAGAAATGACCCTCACAAAGCATTTATAACAAGGGAAAATGCTCACACACTAGGGTAAAATGGGGACGGGGGGAAGAGAAAGCACAGTGGTATCCACCACAGCCAACAAACTTTTGCTGTAAAGGACAAGCTAATTAGGTTTCTGGGCCAAATGGTCTCTGTGGCAATGTCCCACTCTACGGCTATAATGTGAATGCTGCTATAGATGATGGGTAACGAATGACGGTGGCTGTGTGCCAATAAAACTTTATTTACAGAAACAGGAGATGGGCTGGATGGGGTCTACAGGCTGCCGTCTGTCAGCCTCTGGTGTACACAGCAGGATGAGCATTCAAACAAAGAAACGGGGCATCAAGCAGAGATTAGTAAGAAAACACTAAAACACGTGGTATCAGGGGTGGTTGTCTTTGTGTGATGGGCCTATTTAACACTTTAAAGTGTATTCCTCATTTTGTGTATTTCTTCAGTAGTATGAGTCCTATTCATGGGAGAAAATGATTCTCATTACACTTCATAAATACTAAAGGAATTTGCTGGAAGTAGACTTCTTTTTTGGGAGAATTGTGAATATTTATAATGAATGACCCTAGAAACCAGCCGCCTTCACTCCCTCACTTTAGAGGTGAGACAACGGAGACCCAGAGAGGGCAATGGTCACACAGCTGGTGGGTGTGTGTGTGTGTGTGTGTGTGTGTGTCTGTCTGTCTGTCATTGAGCTCTCCTGGCTCTTTTCTCTCTTTGGGGCTGCGATTTGTCATCAGCTCTGTTCCCAAAGCTATTTGCCATTTTGCATCTGTCCCAGCACTCCTGGGGAGTACACCACACTGTAGTGATTATGTCTTGGAGAAGGGGGGAAAGGGCATTGTAATTAACAGGAATACATGTTTTTGGACTATAAGACACACCCCCCTTTCCTCCCAAATTTGGGGGGTATGTCTTATAGTCCAAAAAATACGGTATGTCCTGCATCATGTGAAAAGGAAAAAAAACTGGTTGTTATTATTCACCCCCCACCCTCTTGAGAATCATCACCAACCCAACAGTAATTCAAACATTAATTCTGAACAAATTCATTTGTGTCCTTTTAATAGAGCAATCTGAAAGCTACATCTCAGGGAAAACAGACAGCTCTTGTTTAAGTTTGGCCCATGCTGCCTGGGCCTCTTGCAGAGAGGCAGAGCTCAGAAAATATTTGCAGAATGAGTGAATCCTTCTGATCATCAACAGAGATGAGAACTGACAGCCAGAAGTCCTCCAATAAATAGTTTTGTCAGCTGCAGCCATGCCCTCGGGGGCTGACATTCGCTCATCCTCAGCACCTCTCTCGGTTTTTTGGCCACGGAGCGTAAATGTGAAAGCGCTTAGCACACACTGCTTTCGAAACCTTTTGCAGAGAGAACACAAACATGTACTTAATTACCTTTCAGTCCAGGGAGGCTGAAAATTAATTGGCATGATGAATTTATGTCTTTGTTTAGCTTCCCCCAGAAACTGATCCCGAGACAAATATTGAAGTGGAGGTGGTTTATTTGGAAGTTCAGGGGAAAATACCAAAATACCAGGAGAGGAGAAGCAGAGAAGGGAACCAACAAAGAATATGTTATCCAATGAGCTGCCACTGTGGGAGACTGGAACAAACCCCAGGGAGCCCTGGGGGCAGCGCAGAATACGAGAGAGGGGAAAGCAGGAAGCTGGGGTAACAATATCTTCCGCCAGTTCTCTGCCATCGGCTAGCAGAGGGGCCTGTCACTGCCTTCAGAGGAAGCTCCCAGGCAGAGGCACAGAGCCTGGCCAGGAAAAGGGAGCTGGGGGAACCAACAGGGTAAGGCCACGGGGATAAATGTGGATGCCCTCAGCATCTCCTACCACTTATCTGACACGCCTTCTTTTATTTTTTTTTATTGAGGTAAAGGTGGTATATAACATTATATAAGCTTCAGATATATAATATTAAAATCCAACATCTGCCTACAGAGGTCACCACCCAAAGTCCAGTTACTGTCCATCCCTACACAATTGACCCCTTCACTCACTGCCCACCCCCCAGCCCTCGCCCTTTCGGGTAACGACCTACTCGTTTTCTGTATCTTTGAGACTGGTTTGTTTGGTTGGTTAGTGTTGTGGGGTTTGTTTGTTTTTTTTTCAAGATTCTACATATAAATGAAATCAGGTCCATCCCTGTTCTTGCAAATGTTAGGATTTCATTCTTTTCCATGGCTGATGAATAGTCCATTCCATATCGACTCACCTATCCATGAGCACTTAGGTTGCTTCCATATCTTGACTATTGTCAATAACACTGCAATGAACATGAGGGTGCACATATGTTTTTAAATTAGTGTTTTCTTCAGATGAATATCCAGATACAAAATACATTTGAGGAATCTCCATACTGTTGTCCAAAAATCTTTTTTGTTTTTAATCATTAAAAGCTTATAAAGAGGTTCTGGTTAGGTTTCTCTCTCTGTTGTGGGTGTCAAGAACCTCAGTGGCCTAGTTTTTAGAGCCTCTGAATTTGCAGGAGTCAGTGTTCGGGAGGGTCAGGCTGGTCCAGAGAGCTCCTGGAGGGTCTTAACATCTGGCCCTTCCTTTTGTTTGTTGTGGTCACCCAACTCGGGGCATTTGGGGATGCTTTGGGGGCCTTCGATGACATGCCAGACTGCTCTCTAGACCTCCCCACTAGGATGGAGTACATCCCCCAGTCTGCAACCCACAGACTTGTGGGGGGCCCCCTTGGGGGCCACAGCAAAATTGTGCTCATTCACCTGTTTCCCAGAGCCACGTGCTGAGATGCTTCCATTCTGTGGAGTGGCCAACAAAAAAGAGCATCCTGGACGCAAGCGCACACCACCCTGACCGTGTCCGCATGAAGATCGCAGTGCCCTTCTTTCTTAAAACTTGCGTGGAATTTACGGGTGCACAGAAATCACCCCATAACCAGTCATGGTTAAAACATGTGAAATTCAAAAATAAAATCAGTAAGCAGATGAGGGTGTCTGTGCCGGCCAGATCTTCTGGCTTCTTTTCGGCTAGTTCAATTCTCACAACAGCCCCAGAAGCAAGAACTATTGTTATTGGAGGGAAGAGAGGTGAGGGTTTCTAGTTTCTCCACAGCCAGGCTATTTCCACTACGTGTTTCTTCTGCAGATGCAGTGTGTTGCCACCCTTCAAGGCCAGGCAGGTTCATGGTATTCGTGCAGATGGAAAAATATTCAGAGCCGTTGGGGTGTCTGGCATGCCTTTATTCACGGGTGGGCGAGCCATGCACTCTACAAACTGCATGTCTCTATCTGCATGTCTCATGTGGTGGCCCCTGCTCCCCAGCGTGGCACCCATTGTGGCACCTGTCCCCTTGGGTGTCTCTCATCATCATCACCCCAGCAGGGAGTCCCTCCCTGTTTGAGCACTAAAGGGGAACAAAGCCGGAAAACTGCCAGAACATTACATAACGTAATTCTGCACATGCGAGCTCACTCCATGTTATGGGAATAGTTTATCAGACCCAGGCTCAAGGCTGTGAGAACACTGGTTATCAGGCCCCTCCAAGGCTGTGGGAATCCCGCCGCTCCCCTCAGTTACCCAGACACCTGGGTGAGGAAGCCAGACTGCCTCCACTTACCCTACACGCAGCCATTTCAAAGGTCCTTTATCATCAACAGGAAAATGATGTTCTAGGTAACCAAAGTGATACTTCCAAGAATATTATGCAGTTGTTACCTTTCATGTCCGTGTTGGTCCATTATGATCAACATAACCAAATGTTTCTTCCAACTGACCCCTTCCTTACAATGTGGGATCCTCCTGGCACCAGGGCCATGCTGCAGGCCATGGGCTTCCAACGTTTTTGAACAAAGCTGCCTTGGGGTCAGAAGGTTGACCTTTCTCACCTCAGTTTGCCCACTGATGGGGCTGGAGGCCCTTCCCCCAAGGTAACGAGGTATATTCATTTTTCATTGCTTTGTAATCAGTTTCCACAAACTTAGTGACTTAAGATGACTCGCCATGATTGTCTCACAGTCGCCATGATCAGGAATCAGGTGTGGCTTAACTGGGTGCTCTGCTCCGGGTCTCACTCAGCTGCGATCAAGGTACCAGAGGGCTTCTGAGTTGCAGTTGCAGGACACAGGCTCCCATAGGTGGCCCCTCTCCACAGGCAGCTCACAGCGTGGCTTCGAGATCCTCCCGGCCAGCAGAAAACTCCACCCTTTCAAAGCTTTAATCAAGGATACCCTCTCCTTTTTGATCAACTCCTAATTAACTGATTTGGGACCTTAATTACATCTGCAAAATCCCCTAGTC